CCGAAGAACGTATTATTAGGGTTTTATCGACACATTCTTTTATTTTCGATTTGAATCAAGTAATTTTTGACTTGCTTTCTTACAATAACTTCGATTATGTGTTATGTATAAGCATGTTTCATTTTGGTCCGCTTCAAAACTAATTTGGCTGAACTCTCCATCTAGTATTCATTTCCTTTTAGGCAGCTTGAGGACGTGTATTGCTTTAGGAAACTTGGTATTAAGTCGCATCATTAACAAAAGTTTCCGATGCGCCATATAAATAATTTCACAAAGTTTGCTAGTCTAACATGTCGCATAAACGTAACTCTGACGACATTAAAAATAAATGCATCAAGTTTTTACTTTTCCCGTTGACTACATTTGCATGCCTTTGCTACACTCCGAGGAACTCCATATTTCTTTAAGTTTGGGGCATATCCCCGAGAATGTTACACTGTTTGTAATCCCTTCGAATTTTACACAATGCAAATGATATTTAATCTACGTCATCGGATCTTTGTTTAGATTATACTTCACCGGAATCATCCAAAACCCAAAAATCTGAAACCGGCCAAGGCAGAGCTTATAACTACTCCACGCCTCATAAGGAATGATTCCCTTTAAAGGGTGTAATGGCAATCTACTGCGGGTTTGCACAACCCAAAATTCCAATGACATAAAACGCCTCGCTGATTTCAACAATTACGCGGTCTGAACATTCACGTTTCGTGAGTACTGAACGAAACGAATTCATTATATCATATACAGAAACTAGATGAGGGTAATTACGATGTATGGCGTGTGCAGATGCGAAGTGCTCTTATACATCATAGCCAGCGAAATATGTGCCGAAAATTTTACTTTATGTTGTCGTGCTTATTATATTGTGTAATTCAGTCTATATGTAAACATAAATAGAGACCGTATATTCTTAGAAAATTAATATACGATATTTAAAATTAACATTTTAAAATCTTCGACATTAGTAGTAGTAGTAACAATAGGTGGTTAAACAACTAAAAATGGCCTATAATTTATATATTTATACACACATATAAACACACATTGTATCCATGTTCTGACATGGGATTTCCTGATTAGTCAATAGTTTCGTAGTGGTGCTGGCGATATTGTTAGTGATGTTGGAAAAGAAGCAACCATCGACAGGATTGCGCGGTTTATTTTGAGCCAGTTCGCTAACTAAAACGTCGGGACGGGACTTAAGGAAACTGAGTTCTTTAAGATATCTAATGAAAATTTTTCTTGGAATTATATTATTTCCTTAGACACATTTTTAAATCAATTACTAACCTTTGTCTATCAAGTTCTGCGGCCTTCATATAAGGTGCTTTACGATCTGCGGACATTGTCCGCCATTCTTCTCCTATAATTTTTGTATGCTCTATAGCTGTTTTGTTAGGGTACTCTTTGCGCAAGCTCTCACGTCGCTCATTCATGTAACGTACATAACCTTAGAAGAATTTATATTTAATATTATTTTACTATTTTAAGCCTACACCTTACCGTTTAAAGGCATTTTAAGAGCTCCGGCAGCATTAGCTTTAGGTCTTTTTAAGCGATAGGGTTCCGGCTCATCCGGAGAAGATTTAAGGAAAGTAGACATCTCTTTAAAATATCTAGCAAAAAAATTTTTTACGAAATTAGACCCGTTTCTTCGAAGTATCTTTAAATCAGCTACTAACCTTTGTCTGTCAATTTCTGCGGCCTTCATATAAGGCGCTTTATGATCTGCAGACATTGCCTGCCATTCTTGCCCTATAATTTTAGTATGCTCTATAGCTGTTTTGTTAGGGTACTCCCTACGCAAGCTGTCACGTCGCTCGTTCATATAACGCACGTAACCTTAAAGGGATTTGCATTAAATCTTGTGTTGTTTCTGATTTAAATTTCACACGTTACCAGTTAAAGGCATTTTATGTGCTCCGGCAACGTTAATTTTGTGTCCTTTCAAACGATAGCGGGCCGGCTCATCGGGATGGGATTCAAGAAATGCATGCAATTCTTTAAGGTATCTAACAAAAGGTTTCCTTTACGGAATAAAATCGATTTTCTTAAAGTACTTTTAAATCAATTACCAACCTTTCTTTATCAAGTTCTGCCGCCCTCATATAAGGTGCTTTAAGATGTGCGGGCATTGCCTGCCATTCCTGTCCTATAATTTTTGTATGCTCTATAGCTGTTTTGTTGGGGTAATCCCTACGCAAGCTGTCACGTCGTTCATTCATATAACGTACATAACCTTAAAAAAATTTTCATTTAATATTATTTTATGATTTTAAGTTTGCACGATACCGGTCAAAGGCATCTTAAGAGCTCTGGCAGCGTTAGTTTTACGTCTTTTCAAATGATAGCGTGCCGGCTCATCGGGATGGGATTCAAGAAAAGCATGCAGTTCTTTAAGATATCTAAAAAAAAGTTTTTTTAAATCTATCTATATCCACTTCTTCAAAATGTTTTTAAAACAGTCACCAACCTTTGTCTATCAAGTTCTGCGGCATTCATATAAGGCGCTTTAAGATGTGCGGGCATTGCCTGCCATTCTTGTCCTATAATTTTTGTATGTTCTATAGCTGTTTTATTGGGGTGCTCCCTACGCAAGCTGTCACGTCGTTCATTCATATAACGCACATAACCTTAAATAAATGTGCATTTAATATTGTTTCGTGATCTTAAACTCACAAGTTACCTGTTAAAGGCATTTTAAGGGCTCCGGCGACGTTAATTTTATTTCTTTTCATACGATATCGGGCCGGTTCATCGGGATGGGATTCAAGAAAAGTATGCAATTCTTTAAGGTATCTAACAAAAGATATCCTTTACGGAATAAGATCGATTTTCCCAAAGTACTTTTAAATCAATTACCAACCTTTCTTTATCAAGTTCCGCCGCCCTCATATAAGGCGCTTTAAGATGAGCGGGCATCGCCTGCCATTCTTGTCCTATAATTTTTGTATGTTCTATAGCTGTTTTGTTGGGGTGCTCCCTACGCAAGCTGTCACGTCGTTCATTCATGTAACGTACATAACCTTAAACAAATTTACATTTAACGTAATTTTATGGTTTTAAGATTACGCGTTACCAGTTAAAGGCATTTTAAGAGCTCCGGGAACATTAATTTTACGTCTTTTCAAAGAATACGGCTCCAGCTGATCATTGCGTGGTTGCTCTGTGAATCCTACACTACGGCGCTTCTGCACATTAGCTGCTTTCGAGATAGATTCAGGAGCTGATATACAGCCTTCCTGACCATGTAACATTAATCCGTTTTTAAACATTTGATCACATACCATCATTTCGGTTTTAGTTGCTTTTTGTGCCTGTATCGACAGAGCTTTGCCATCGTCTAAATCCATTATTAATTTGGCTAAGTTATACTTGTCGCCTTCCTCTTCTACTTCTTCTATAATTGTTGCTTTTAACGCAATATTGCTTTGGGGTTTCTCCAAGGTTGCTGAGGGTAGTGAATGTTTTTCTTGTTGTGACAGGCGTCTTTTCTCACTCTTCTGCACTTTAATATGCCTCATTATTTACTTTTCACTTAGAATCACTCTAAAATCTAGCGAAGACTAAAATTTCTGCAACTGACACAAGAAGAGGTGCCAGATTGTTTAAATTTCTGACAAATACACACCCACCAAACTAGCACGCAAAATGGCAATAAAACTGTTCACACTATTAAGCTTCGCTTTGCTATCAGACCTGAACAATGAACTTATGGAAAACAATGTAAACAAACACAGCGAAGCCGCAAAATTGTTCAACTTTTCTCGAACCTATGCTATTAGCAAATTATAGCGCTTAACACAATGATGCATTATTCCTACTTTCCATTTTTGGAAAGCTCTGATATCTCTAAAGAGGTACATTAGATATGACAAAGCTGGTCTTCCCCAGACCAGGGAATATAAACGAAGCTTCACTGTGTCAGGCCCTACCAGGCTGTTGCTAAAAGCTGCCGAATGCATTAAATTATATATATATAATATGGAACATAAATTCGGTTTATGAATTTAAATGTACGTATATTGTACATACAATATATAAATTTGTAAAATTTATAATATTTATATTGTAAACTCCTCCCTCAGCCCTAAGAATATAAGCGAAATTTCATTATGTCAGCCCAGATATACTAAATGCTGCTTTATTCCTATTTTCCAACCTTCATCTTTGTCGACTGTTAACGAGACGATATGAGTATCAGCAAATCAAATGGTTTTACATCTATATACAAAAGTAAATCAAAAGGAAAAAATATCACAAGAAGAAATAAAGTCAAGCTATTTTAAATTTCGAAATTATTTGTCTACTTTTGTGATCATTTTGTACTAATTTTATATATGTGTCAAATCAAAACATTTAATTCTTTCTCTTTGTTCTATTGCGTCACTAAAGCCCGGCGCATGGTAATTCTCCTAATTCATCAAAAACTTAATTTGCTTTTGCGGTAAATTTTCTTATCATTGTTATTAACATATTTGTTGTTTACATTTATGTCGATACATTTAGTTTTACTTCTCGAAATAAGTATTCTTTTTCAGTATTAAGTGCGAAATAAGTATTCTTTTCTAGTATTAAATTCGAAATAAATATTCTTTTCTAGTATTAAGTTTCTACACCTATCCATTTCCTTAACTTTTCTTATAAAATAGTATGGTAAAGCGGTTTCTCATTACAGGTCCCACGTAGGTCTTATTAACCCGACAAACGAAATGACGCTTATATTCCCACGTCTGGCACATATTCAATTTATAAATTTTATAAAATCTACCAATTTATAAGTTTCGTATTTCAAATTTAAGAGCTACATATCCAATTTTACAAAAATTGATTCATTTTTATTACAAAGTACGTATGTCAAATTGTTTTATTAAAGCATATTATATTGAAAAGTAATTTTCAAATAATGGAAGTTAGTAATAACAACGGAGTTTTCGATGACGCCATGATATAGTATTAATTCTTTTTTTCATTAACCAATTTCAAGATGATTATTTGTTCTCACACTAATTTTTTTATCGTAATATTTGTGTTGATTTCTTACTTTGACTATTCAAGTATACGCTAGCAGTCAACCACTCTCTTATTTTTTATAAAATTATTCCTTATGTTTACGTTGATTCGTTTTGTAAAATCATATGTTTTTATTTTCATTTTCTTGTAAAATAATATGGTGTCGCGGCTGCCCACTTAAGCTGAAAATGAAGGTTCATTGTATCAGTCCCCTTAGTGTTTTCTAAACGTAAAAATTTCAAAACAATTTTAAAAGATATTACATTTCGAAACTTCATCATTCGGCATACAAAACTGCTAATTTTTAATACGATGGATTTGCGCTCTGATGTCGTCAAAGCTAGTTATGTATTTAATTAAAAGAAGCCTTTGCATACTTCTCTAAAGTGTGCTACATTGTCGTATTGGGACGTGAGGAAAGAGTTTGAAGATTACTTGTTTAGTAAACGTCGCCTATCAATAATTGAGTTACGCACCTTCTGGTATGGTAAGTAAACTGACTACCCAACGCCGTAATTCATGAAATTTTTTCTTTTCGTTTTGAAATATTTCTGTCTACTAAAAGGTCAAGGCGTACATGACCGTACCAAGCATATGAGATTTTTCACACCAAATACCGGGAGCATCATGACGTATTGGATTAATATGTACATGCAAATGATAGAAACTGGGCTGATAATACAAGTACATGAGCAATTGTGCAGACAGTAATCCATAACGTTTTTCAATAACCTCTACTGCCCGTAAACGAATGTTACGTAGTAATGGTAAATGGTGATCATTAAGGATCACGCAAAGATTTAATAATCAACAATTCAAAGGCCACTTTAAATTAGTGCACTATAGTAACGTGTCTTTTCGTCTTATGGCAATAACGCGCCGTTATTTCTGTTGTGTCAAATAAACGCTAATACACCGATATTTGTTTGCATGGCTTACACACCTCAATATACATACATTTCTCGGGCATCTGAGAGTAAGGGTCTATACTTGTTTATTAACAGCTGTTGTATGTATAAATTTCTCGGGCATCTGAAAGTAAGCGTCTACATTTCTCGAGCATCTGAGAGTAAGGGTCAACATTTGTTTACAATTGTGGATAATCGTCAATCTGTGCGCTCATCTGTCTCTTAATTGTGAAAATTATACATTTATTTCCTTAACATAAGATACCTTACGTGAAAAATATTCGCATATTTTTATACTCAAGTGCTGGAGACTTGCATGTGTCTCTGTAAATTTTTTCGATTTTGATTACGTCTCTGCTTCTGATTGACGCGACTTCATGAAATAGTTCAGTAGGGGAGATGATATTTGCACCTTCGCAGATGACCCGAAAACAATCGACCGAGCGAATCGAATATCATGCAAAAAGTGAACCAAAAGGGTGAAGAAACAGAGCTAAAGTCGTTCCAAACACCAAACGCACATTGACATTCTTTCGTCATTCTTTCGTCAAGCTAAACCGTTAATAAAGATTATTAAATAAGTGTTACGAAGGCAATGAAGACGACCCAATTCATTTAGAAGAATAAAGTTTTCCACTTTTTTAAACTAATTCACCTTACTTGCTGACCAAAGTTGTACGTGAGTTCAAGAATGTAATTTTCCTTTAGTTCTATTACACAAATTTCACGATAAACAGCTATAATCATGGCATTGAATGATTGATACCGATTTTTTGTAACGTAACCTATGATTTAAGTTTTTTTATTAATTTTTATATTTTTTCCATTTTTATTCTATTTTGATAATCACTTGGTTCGTCTTCTCATATGCATCTCATTTATTGAATACATCTTGGCAAAGATGTGAACCACAATATGAGGATAACAAAGCCTTTCGTGGCAGTTAGGGCTAATTTCATGCCTTTTTCTCTTTGTATAAGATCCACCTGAGGAAGATTGATCAACATTTCACTAACTATGGTTCCCTTCGTACGAGATTTCAGTCGACTATCAATATCAAATTGCTAAAAAGAGAAAGGTGGCAAACATGTTCAATGCTTATTCAAGCGAAATAGTAAAGACTTACGTAATTTGATCAATTTTTTGCAAACAAGGTAGGGCCTAAGAAAAAAAGTCGGTGTGGAACTGATCGCAATGTCAATTCGGCTTTCTTTCCAAACGAATCTAAGGAAGGACATTTTAGCGGCTCCAAGTTACCACGACATACATCAAGTGGTTCATCTAGTAAGCGCAGTACCAGTGGTAGCGGTGCAAGAGAATGAGATTGTGCAAATATGAACTGTAAAGTGCCTCTTTATATATTGTAAATTTTTTTTTTTATTAAGCACCTTCTAATTCCATTATCATTATTAAGGAGACGCCAACGAAATTCCAAGGAAAACTATGCGAATCTCTGAAGGGTGTCGATTTTCGCATATTTTTGAATATTTTCTGTTAATTCTTCGATATATTCGTACAAGTGGTTTTATATAACATACAATCTTATATATATAATTGTATAAAAGAAGAGCATTTATCTCCCCTTGAACGTCTCCTCACTAGTTTTTGTAAATTTTTACAGACCTGCCGATCGATTTTCGCATATTTTTGAATTGTGCCTCATGACGGATGTTACCGCCAAATTATTGCGCCGTAATTTTTGATACATAGAATATAATAGGTCGCGGCTTCTTCCACATAACCGCAAAGTACAAGAATGTGTAGAGCCTGGTTTTCACGGTGTTCCGCACCACCCTTGGGGTACCGTGATAGGCGCGTTGCCAATTGTTTGAAATGGCTGGCTCCCATTTATGCCTACACCATTATAGACCTAATTAAATATTACAATAGTATTTACAATAATAATAATACATAATAATACACAACATACATATAAATTTTAAAAAATTCCTGCTATGCCTAGTCACATCTTTTCGGTGTGCTGACATGTGCAAAAGAAAAATATTGTGATTACTGAATTTTATATATAAAGACGACCACAAACTTACCATTGGCCTTTGGAAGTATCGCATTCTGCTGAAACGATGAGTGGAGGTGTATGCTTGCTTTTTAATCTAAAATAAAATAAAAATTAATGAATAAATTATACATAATTATAAGTAAGGATAAATGCAAACTTACCTTTGGGATGCAGCGAATCTTACATTACGATGAGGCGATGAGCGAACAGTTGGACTTAATTTTGCGGGCGGACTTCTTTAATCTAAATATAAAAATTTCAACATAAGTTACAAACATATTAACATATTTCTATTATATTTGATTTACCTTCTACTTGCGGTTCTCCAAGCCCGATTTTCCATTGACTTAACTTTGTGGGCGGACTTCTTTAATCTAAATATAAAAATTTTAACATAAGTTTCAAATAAGGGATTTATAAATATATATATATATACTGTTTCGATTACCTTTACTTTGTTCTACTTAAAGCACGACTTATCCCTGTACTTCTTGGTATGGTGGACCTTTGATTATTTTTTATTCGCCTTTTATTTAGTTCATTATGTATTGTATTTTTATTAGCATATTCGTCGTCCAAATCATTCATAATTTCTTATGCATTTGGGCTTGATAACGAATATTGGACGTCTCACGATTCACATGCAATTGTTTAGAGAGCATATTAAGTGAGCTACTCTACTAACATGTATACTATTTAATTTAAATATAAACATCTGTTATGCGAAGCTTAAAATCGTTACTATCTATGTGTCGTAAACACGACTACTTTGACTACCATAACCCCAACGGAATCATTTATTGAAATTACTTACCATGCTGGTAAATTTCTCTTCTACGATTTTTTAGCATCAAAATATCTTTCATTTTTTTTTCATGTAGATGAACGCGTTAACTGTGCCGTTAAAGCTATGATGAACATGGGTTTCAGTAATGTGGGAGCTTGGTTAACACAGCTTTTGGAAAGCGTTCAGGGCAATATCCCTGAAGCGTTAGACTTAATGTCGGCTGCCCAAAGAAATGCTAATTAAATTGCTTGAAATTCGTAGAGTAATGGCGAGTTGATAGAAGAATAATTGTTCTGGCCATAGAAGCTAGCAAAAGCTATTTCAAAAAATTGTATATTTCTTGCAGAATTAACGTTATCATAAAACAGTTCGATTAGTTTTGGAAGAGTACATTTTCTTATTGTGCAGTTAAATTAACACAATATTTTTACTGTATCCACATACACATATATGAACAACGTAAAAATGCCTTCATATATACGATACTGAATAGTGGCTTGTTACTCTGATGCCAAGCGAATTGTTTCGTTGACATATTGCACTTGTATTATTTCGCATTTAACTTTACGCTTGTGTACGTGCATATCTGAGCACGGGGATAGTGTCATGAAGAGAAGACAATAAGCATTACCAGCTATTGCGCCCGATTGTTTTCATAAAGCCACTGGCACTTACAATTTTTACTAATTTTGCTCCTACTACAAACAACTAGGAAAATTGAATGTTAAACAGTACGTAATGAAAATTTAATGAACGAGTAAGGAAATTAAAAATGGTTGCAGATGTCTCTACGTAATTACTGCAAGGAACAAGATCTATTGCTGCAGGATACTCATGTGTATTGAGTAACCATTGATTTAAGCAAAACGCAGATTTACTTGCTCCATACACATAGCACATCCTACACAACTCGGATCATAAATTTATACAATTCAATAGCTTCTCATTTACTATTTTGCGGACTAAAACATTTTAATACATAAGAAAGAAAAGTATTAATAATTTAAACTTATTTTGTGAAAAGCTTCTGCTTTTAGAGATCTGAACACTGGCATTCGCTGCCTTTAATTTGCGTTTAAAAAGATTCATAGGGAATCTTTCTATAACTTCTCCACACAATACCACCATTAATTATATATGCTTGCATATATTCTGGTCATTAATCGCTTTTCACTACACGTTGCTGATCGTACCATATGCATAGCAAAACTTTATGACCATGGATAATGTCGATGTGGATGGATCCCTTAAACTAAACCATGGGATTTGCGTAGTAGATCCACTTTTCGTCACAAGTCACAATACATCACAGAAAACTTTCTTCGCAAGCAATGAAACCTCTATGTTAAAATGGTTAGAAGATGGATTTTTCGTATACTAGGCATTTTCTCTTTTGCATCTTTCGCACCACATGTAAATATCTACAACCAGTTGATTCATCAATTGCTAAGCTGCTCAAAAGTTCTTTTGGAGTTTGAGTTTGGTTTTTGTCTAGAAGGTCTTGCAAATCATTGTTTTCGAACATTTTTGGTCCTCCAGCTCGTTCTTTGTATCAAAAAACATATTATGCCTGTTTGATATTATCATGCAACTTTCGGCATTTTAACTTAGGAAGCTTTAGCATTGTTAATAACACCTGCTTTCTAGATAACAATAGATAGAGATTGTCCGTTCCCAGGCTTATGCTCCAAATTTTTTTTAATTTAAATATAATATGGTACCCAAAGTCATAGCTAAAAATAAATCCAAATTATTGGAAGCACAGGAGTACTTGAAAGGTCTCTTAGTGCAAGATAAAGACAAAGTAAATGCATTTTAACGTTCGGTAATGACAATAGCATTCATAATAAATCTTATAGGAGATTTACCTGGAGAGCTTGGAAATATTTTTGCGTAGCCAGTCATGTGAAACAAAAACACCGTATATATGAGATAGAACATTTCGCTAGCAACATGTGCGCAGCAACATTCATTGTGGGTATGTTTGCTTAAGCAATTATGTGCATAGGCAATATTTTTCAACTTTTGGTTTTTCCGTGCTTGGCCGTTTCTATTTTTGGTATGTTCATATGAGCATTTTTTATAAATAAATTTCGCTTTTTTTCGGATAATTACCATAATTGTTCTATATATTTATGTTTATTGCTAAAAAATTTTTGTTATAATACTGATTTCTACTATACATATATTTTCTATTATCGTTATTAAAAGCGAATTAATATTATAATTAATTCCGAATTACTAAATTTAAATATAAATGTTTGACTTTGGCATTTATCATTTAAATAGACGATAAAAAAATAAGTCGAGCAGTAAAAAACGAGCGCGAAATTGAACCCACAACGCCTCACACCAAAGACTCACATATTCACATCGGCGTCTTCACCAACTACGCCATCCCGATGACACTTCGTTAGTTGCTTAAAACTGCCATATATATTTCGTACACCTTCCTGTATTATATACGCCATGTGTTTGTGCAGTAGTATTAAGTTCGACATAAGTATTCTTTTTCAGTACAGTAAATGCTCCTTATTCGCGCTTCCTTTATTCGCGGTTTCACTATTCGCGGATGAAAAAAATGCGAGCATATTCGCGGCTATAAATTTCTTTATTCGCGGATTTTTTGTGACTGGTTCCGGAATTGTTTTGTTTCTGAAGTTGAAACTTATTTAAAAAAACTGAATTTAGACTTTAAAGCACTTCTAGTTTTGGACAATGCACCAGGTCATCCTCGCGAACTTGAAACTATGCATCCAAATATAAAAGTGACATTTTTAACTCCCAACACGACGGCTTTGCTTCAATCTATGGACCAAGGAATAATCCAGGCCTTTAAGCTCTGTTACATTAGACGACCCTTCAAAATCATATTGGATAATATGGAATGTAGTCCTGATATGAATATTATAGAATGCAAAAGAAATTTGACATAGCAAAATGCGTCGTAAACATAAACGAATCATTGGAAGAACTGAAGCCACACACATTGAAGTCATGGTGGAAAAAACTGTGGCCTGCTCTGACTGCGGAAAATGACAAAGCATCTGTGCAAGTTCAAACTTTGACTGAAAACATAGTCGAAATCGCGAATGGAATAGGACGAGATGGGTTCCAACAGATAGAATCAAATAACATTCAGAAATTGCTTAAATCGCAAGAGGAAGATTTGACTGAAGTTGACTTGGAGGAAATGTTCAATTCACCGCCCATTGAAGGGACTTCAACGAGCACTGGAAATGTGGCATTTAATTTGGAAAGTCTTAGTGAAGGTTTAAGAATGGCAAATGAGTTTGGCGATTTTTTTATGAACATTGATCCGTCTATGGAACGAAGTCTTATTTTTAAGAGGCAAATTGCTAATGCGACTGCTGCGTATCAGTCTGAATTTAAGGAGCTTCTAAAAACTGCCAAGCAAGAGAAACTTACAAAATTCTTCAAACCATTGCCTAAGCCTTAAGATAATTGATCAAAATGTTGAAAATTTCAATTAAATAAATATTTCTGCTTTAGCGCGAATATGCTCACGACATGTCCATTCAAAACGTCATAATATACCATACCACGTTGACAGTATACTGTTACGCATACTTATCGTCATTATACTTGTCGTTATTATATCATATGTTTTCCAAAATTGAAGATAAATTAGGAAACCTAATTCCGTATAAATTCAATGGCGTACTTATCGAATTTTCATCCGCACTCTAAAAAGAGTGTGACAAGAACGCTATCATATTTCCGCAATCTATTTTTTAATTTGAGATATTCTTTTTTAATTTAATACAATTTCCTGTTGTCAAGGAATGAACTAGTTGTTTAATTTGAAAGAGGCTTACAAGCCATAAAAGAATTTCGTAAATATTCTTTTAATAACTTATATATAAAGTTTTAATAGAAGCATTATTAATTTTTTTGTTTAATAAACGTTATGCGAGTGTACATACCAATAAATCGGCGAGAAATCTGTGCCTCTGTCCAGGACAAGAGAAAAATTTATTTTTATTGCATAAAAATACCTATTCTTGATATTCTTGATATATATATATGAACAGAAAGAATTATAGCCGTGTCTATCTGCAAATTAAACGATATGAAAACTTAGATTTTGGCTTGGTATTTTCACGGAGACAGTGTAGCCACACTTTAAGAATCATAAAGAAGTATAAAATAGATAGTGTTGGCAATTCTATTCTATATAAAAAATACAATTTCACAAGAAAACATTATTATGCAAAAACTTCACGAACAGTTGAACTTGATTAATGGATGAATTGCAGAACTGACATTTGAGGAAGTTTCAAGAATAATCAAGAATGAAAATATTGATTTCAGACGTAAACATTTATATTTGCTATTAGTTTAACGGAAAAAGTAAATTCGCATATTATTGCATATTGTCTATAAAAGTGACGAACAGTAACGAAAATTACTTTAGTTTTGCTGTGGAAAGCCGAAGGTGTAAACGATCGAAAAGAACAAAGAAAATATTTGTGATACTAAAAAAGAGCAGGAAAGTGATTAAACTGTTTCATTTCACGTATTAAAAAAAAAGACTATATAAAGATGTCATCGCCGGATAAATTCTTGAAACTCACCTATAAATTGCAGACAGGCAAGGATTTGCACGCCTACCTGAAAATGCCTTCACCCACTTTTGAGTATCTAAAAAAGGAAATTGAGATGTACTTCTTTCGTGAACGTGATTTGCCAGCTTGTGAAATACGTACATTTTGGTTCGGTAAGTGGATGATAGAGATAACAAAGGTATTTAAACGTTTTAAAAACAATTCTTCGGATTAGTGTTTATTTGGTTTACCAAGGACCAAACACACTCAATTTCGTACGTACACAAATACTATTCAAAAAGAGGAAAAAGAATTTTAAACCAATCAATTGATAATGGCGACGAAATATATCTATACCTATGACTCAAATCCGAATTACTTTTTTTATTGCTATTATTAACCAATAGCATTATTATGAAAAGTTTTTTTTTTTTCCAAAAGTGGAAAGATTGGTTACGTTTATATAGACGAAGAGAGTGCGATAAGAGTCCATTAAAATAAAGGTAGAGATATATTTAATACATCGAACTTGACTTAGTCAAAAATCATCGTATATAAGTGTATTAAACTTCTTCAATTCACTTTTGCTATAAGTCGGAAATAATTTACAAGATATTTTGAATTCCTATTTTATTTCCAAGAAGAAAGAAACGTTAGGTTTGTAAAATATTCATAACGCATAAATATTCCGTTATTTATTTGTGCTTTTATTAGAGTGATAAGTGAGATTTTCGATTCTTCACTGTGTTTGTGGAAACCACCAATATGCTATTAAAACATCTCCCATGACATCGAAGCATTCTACTATAATTTCTCTTCGTAAAGTCAACCTGTTTAAGTTTGCTATTTATTGGTAATTAGAATAGCTCAGCTATTTTACGCCTGTCGCGCTTGCTATGTTAAGCGTGTCACATAAAATTTTTAGAAGTTAAGTGCGATGTTCAAAATTGGTATGCAGAACTTCCCTCGTTAAAAACAAAAAATTTAACGAATTACAATTAGTCAATGGTGATGGAAATATTCTAAGAATGAAGTCATACTTAATTTATTATTCCACAGCTATGAAAATGCAATAGAGACTCTGTAAAGCATGTTTCTTTAATTAGCATGGGACTCTAAATTAACTTTGTAAAGTTCGTCCCCACACTATGTGACATGACTTGCTACCAGTTGTCGCAAATCCACTATAATGTGAATACCTTTTTCTCTTATGTATTTTATGTTAAAAATGCGAATTTTTTTCTTCTCGAACATAATATGTTAAAATCCAATACCAACGCAATACATCTTTTCCTAGTTAAAACTTATTATTTTTCTACACCATTCATTAAGATTAATACTAAAAGTTTTTTAAATTTTATGCATTCTTCTCTTTTTGTGTTCTTCGAAATAAATTGTTGATAAATCGGAGTTTTATGTTGCGGATATGCAGACAATACAACTTGTCGTAACATTTTATTATTTTATTTCATTTATAATAGATGAACAAGCTGACGAAATCGAAATTATTAATCAATGCGATTATGATATTTTTATGGCTAAATTTTCGAAAAATCCTCATTTATTTGTGGCTCCAATAAAGAATCTGCAAGAACCCAATAAAGAATTCAATCAAATAGACGGTGAAGCTGTTACTTCGCAGGCCGTTTCAAACAACGTAGAAGGCACCGATGTTGTCAACATGGTGGGCGACCCAGCTGAATTCGTCATACATCATCGAGTTGAATGTGACAATTGCTTAATGTCACCGATCATGGGTTTCCGTTATAAATGCATTGAATGCGAAAACTACGATCTCTGCCAGCATTGCGAGGTCAAGCATGTGCATGCTGAACACATGATGATTCGAATGCCAAATAATGAGTGTCCAAATATGGTAGAGACTTGGGTAACACCTCATCATCGCTCTTCATCGGGCCGAAAGCACGGCAAACGTTCGAAGGGAAGTGTCAATTCAAGTTGTCCCGTGGGCTTGGGAGCAGCTGTAATTAACGAAAGCAAAGTCAGCGAGGCAAATTCGGGTAGTGAAAATGGCACGTCATCTAACGGACGTAGACGACGAAGACGCCATCAACGTCATGGCATCTGGACACATATTTATGATATGATGCAAGATTTGGCTGAGGGTGGCACAAGTGGGGTTGCGCCAAGTGCTTCCGGAGAGAAAACTGATAAACAACAGCAACAAGCAGCTGCGGAAAATGGGGTTAATGTGAGTTCAGTAGCAGCTCATGAGGCAGCTCGTACGGCTGCTGAGATAGCAGCAAAGGTTGTACATGAAACTGCTATGCAAGCAGTTAGAACAGCTGCTTCTGCAACTGACTCGTCAAATGGACCTTTTGAAGCCTCGAATAAGAAGGTCGTATAGTGCGTTCAGTATAAAATTAATTTTTGCTTTATTTTATTTGTAATTGACAGGCTAATGCTACAAGTTCAAGTGGGGAACAAGGGGCATCTTCTGCTCCTGCAATGCCAGCTATACCTTTGGATGCAATAGCCCAGTTTTTAGATCCGCATTTCATGAAAACTGGCATACAAATTTTAAATAACTTCAGTGATATGTTCTCCAAAATGTTAGATCCTTTGGATGAAGCCGCCGAAGATAGTGATAACATTCCCCACAATCTCAATTCCAACGACCCTACTAATGATATACCTAAAAATTCTATCAATTCCAATAACTCTTCCGACGTTTCGTCAAATAAGAATGACAATAATCGTAATGATACTGATGCTGAAATATCAAGTGATGAAAAGATAATCGATAATGTTCAGGACAAAATTCTTGTCGATTCAAATCAACCTCAAGATATGGATTTAAGTTGTGGAAGCAGCGACAGTGATAACGACAGCGGCTCGGAATCTTTTATTAAAATTGATGCTTTGGCTTTATCAAAAGCTGATAAGCAGACAAATGTAAATGATGTGACTACTACTGAAACTGATACTGATAAAAAGGATGAAAAACCGGCAAATGAACCAATGGTCGAAAGTAATGTTTCAGTCTCTGCAGACATTACCAACGTGCCAGTTATACCTAATTCCATTATTGACGCGACTACTTCGACTAACATAACCCCAACGGAATCATTTACTGAAATTAATTATCATGCTGGTAAGTTTCTCTTCTCCGATTTTTTAGCTTAAAAATATCTTTCATTGTTTTTCATGTAGATGAACGCGTTAACTATGCCGTTAAAGCTATGATGAACATGGGTTTCAGTAATGAGGGAGCTTGGTTAACACAGCTTTTGGAAAGCGTTCAGGGCAATATCCCTGAAGCGTTAGACTTAATGTCGGCTGCCCAAAGAAATGCTAATTAAATTGCTTGAAATTTGTACCAATATTAAGGAGACTTTTTAATGCATTGTTGTATTCCTCCTTATTTATGGTTCATTGTATTTTTGTAACATTTTCTTCGTTTAATTTGCATATATATTTTCATTCATTTACTTCGCTTTCAAGCGAAACTTTAGGCATTTCTGTCTTTTAATATTTTATGCTTTCTTCACAAATAATACATATATATATCAATATTTAATCGCCAAACTTAGCTTAGATATGTCGGTGTATTAATGCAAAAATAAATAAATAATATATATACACATATATATGTATACATTCAATTTTTCTTTTTCACATAAACATTTCGCGAAAATTTTTAGGGCACGGTCTTATATATACATTTTTATATTTGCGCTCCACATCGTAACAACGCTTCAAAAGTTAGTTAAATTGCAGGTGCGCGTAAATGAAAAATGCAAGAATTCATGAAAATAAAAACTGTCGAATTAGCCGTATATGCATATATAGCAGTGCCGTAACACAAATATGTTGGCAGCTACCTTCTTACAAGAAAATTGTGTTTGTAATCTGATATTAAGCTGCTTGCGGATCTTACTTAAAATGCTATGAAAATCTGCGAACAAAGAAAGAACATTCTGCACAGAAATTGCCCATCCATAAGATTGCTCACGAAAGAAAAACTTTAATTTCCGTAGACTTCTGCCAAATTATTGATCTTTTTACGTCTTAAGTTATTTTATATTGAAGCAAAACTGTGGTTATATTTAAACAAAAACATGTTGTTAGAGTCAATTTCTTATATAGTCTGAAGCGTTCTTTTAAAATTCATCTTACGTGTCTCTTTTTTCAAAAATACAGGAATTCGTATTAATCAGAGGAAAATCAGAGGAACCATTTAAATGCAAAGTAATCACGCCCAACCTACGCCACTTTTTTGCATTGCGCAATGGTTGTCACTTTTCAAAAATTTCGCTATAAGTTTGGTAAAAATGAACGGCAAAAAACATATAAGCAGCTACAAAAACTACTGCGACTCTTGCAAACTGCCTACAGAAATCGATCGTCTGCACTTTCTAGGTACTGTTCGTTATTCTAATCAAGCATTATAACAAATTTCGTAATCTTTCTTAACATTTCGAATTTTCGGGATAAATATTTATTTCATTTAATTGCACAAGTTTTTTTAATAATTAGTTATCTGACGATCGAGATATAAGTTTCTCCACTTTTAAACGAACTCGCAAATTTGAATATGTTATGACTTTTGAAAAGAAGAAAAATGTTTTTTAATTTTTTTTCGTTATTGTTGGAAAATTGCGTTATATTCTGTAGCATAAAAAATATATTTTCAAGAAGTCTAATTGAATTGTAATGACGTTTCTATAGCATCCAATAAAGCGTCAAAGGGATGAAGTGCACCTACTATCAACACGACAAACGTAAGAATTTTATACAAACGTATACGAACAAAGTTACGACGAAAGAAACCACTACCATAGCCAGTTAGTTGGCTATATATGCCAAGCGCAAATGAACTAATTCCCAAGAAGTTATGCAATAATCTTAAATCATCTAAAATTACAGCCGATGCTATGTAGCAAGTACCGCTAACAATATTTAAGAGCAACATTATAAGAGAGGCGATACCTGGAAACAAAAATGACTAGAATGATGATAAACGAAGCCAAGAGAAGATCAATTATACCGATTTTGCCATGAAAGGAAGTGTAGTGAATCTCAACGCTAAAGAAGATTTTTGCTGTGCCCGCAACAGCTAAAAGTCCGCCACATGTTACCATAATAATATGAATTAGCACGTTAGTGAGCCGATGGAAGTCCCAAAAAAGGGGATTGTATGAGTAGCGCGAATTAATTCCTTCGGCAACAAAGAAGACATACTGCCGTAGATCAATAACAATGAAAGAGGAAAAAATAATGATAAAAATTAATAAAAGAAAAACAAATGCATTTTGAAAATTTGTTTCCTACTTACACCTAACGTACAGAAGAAGGAATGCATGCCCGTCTTTTTAAGACCTAAACGCCAGAGACTTAAACATAAGGATATTGTTATTATCAACACACTGATGTGGAAAGATAAATTTAGAACAACAGATACGAAGCGGATGAGATTGGAAAAATGAGATTCTTCTTCTTCAGATTTTATTCCAGAATCGAAGGTTTCATTCAAATGAACATCCTCTCTTTCTGTCATTTCCATTTTTTTCGTTTTCTTTGTGATTAAAAGCTGCACGGAAATTAGTAAAAATCTAAATAAGAAATATTTGATATCTGAATGCTATTTGACAATATGCGATTTGAAAAATTTGATAGATTAAAGAATCTAATGCAACGTATGGGTGTAGTGAGACTAGAACACTTTTCTTGTAAAGACAAGGAGAAATACAAAGCAGACAAAGCAAATGTATACCATGCTCTTGCAATTGTTTGATAATCGAGTTATTGAATCAATTATGGTCAAACGATGCTATCGAAAAATTGTGCATAAATAAATGTATACTTCAAGGTGGGTATTCTAAAACAGTAATAACACACACTATGACAGAGCATAAGAATGCTCTTAAAACGATCCGCATGATCCATCTGGCAATTGTGCAAATAACATAAAATGCTTAAAGGGATGGGTAGGCGTACAAGGTGTGTCATAAGACAAACATGACTTTTTCTTTGGCTTAGCGAAGACATTGCGGCCTTATTCGTTTATATACCCTTGTAAAGAAGTAAGAATCGTGGTTGACCAAGAAAATCAAAAGATTGGCAGGATCGCCACGTGGTGATATTTGATGCAAATTTTGGGTATAGCGTGTAACGAGGTATGTCCTGAGTAACAGAAGATGGCCTATGAATCCAATGTCAGCGTATAATTTCCTGACAGCTCGGCTATTTCCGTCAATCCTAGCACTTCTGTTACCAAAGTGAATTCGGCACAGAGTGTCTCTATTTAAAAAATTCAATTTGTTAATTTTTTTTTAAGGTCCCGAGGCAAGTTCGACTTGGGACCCTCAAATTCAATTGATTTTCTTTATTGATTTGGGTTACTAGCTAGAATTTTAGCCAAGTTTATTTACAATTTGTGTTCGTTTGAAATATAAAGTGCTGTAGTAAGCATTTGTTCTATATGAAAATAGCTCGCCGAATCGAGCCAATGAAACGATTACTAGTTCAGTAGGACATATAACTGTCGATTCGGTACGTGATCATTTAAACGCTACTACAACTATCTTCTTTTCGACCGCTACCGAAGAGGTAGTCGGTAAGTGTAAGGTTTCCGTGTTTTAGAAGAAAATAAGCCAAAAAATTTTTAAATAATAAATTCTTCCAAATTTTTTAAAGCTACTTTAATTTAGCAATTTTTTCTGCAATTCTTTTACTAGCATCGACTGGACCAACAAGAAAAAAAAACATGAACAAATGACTTGAAAACTTATAATTTTGCTTTTGTTTCGTTCTTTACTTTTAGACTTGCTGTTCTAATTTGCTTGCAGACGGCTATTGAACGCTGATTTAGTTTTGCTTTTATAACTTTTTTGTAATTATGCATGTTACACTTTCAAGATAATTTTGGATTTATTAAACATAAACGTTATGTCCAAAAATCCTTAATGGTCCTAAATAAAATTAACTACAGTTCCTTTTCTCCAGTTCTTCTTTTATCAATTTGTACTATAGAAGAGGATACTTAAGCCTCCACCAGACAGTGCTCTGACCATATCATACTTAACTTACATATAACATAGTACTTAACAGTATTTCAAATTTTTACTCAGAAGATTTCTAATAGTTGTGGTGAGTATTTCTGTAATAGGAAAAAGAGGCGAGTTCATTCCTTGCAAAAGTTTTCTAGGAAATGTAATGTACTAAGTTAAGGGTGATCGTGACAGTAAATATTTCAATTTTTATCTTAAATGTTTCAAAATGATATAAAGTAATTTTTGGGGGCGTGGTCAAATTTTGTCAAACCATATGATCTTTTGAACCTACTTGTATTGTAGTATACGAGTTCGAAACAAAAACATCTGTAGAATGTTTACAAATCAATGGGTGGTCCTCAACGTAAACTATGAAATTTATGAGATATTTTAATGGGCTTTGGTACACCAACATGTAAATAGAAGAAAAGGAGGAGCCCTTTAACGAATTGTAATGAAAACCGCATCAAAACGAGTAAATTAAGTATGCCTGCCACCTAATCGTTGAAGCGTTTAATAAGCGTGGCAGCCGACAGCAGAAGGTTTGTTTGCAAAAAAGGTGAAATGAAAAGTAAGAATACTTATAAGATGCTTCTTTTTTACAGCCTGACTAAGATTTAGTAGGTGCTACTACTGAGAAATAAATAAGCCAAAAAACATTCACCAAACTAACTTGAAAATCGGGCGCAGAAGCTAAAAAATCTACATGCATTTGAGGATTTTTGAAAATTCTTTTTTTCTTCAATTTTCTCCCATTCTTTTGCTTATCCTACAGGCATAACTTATCCATTTTGGAACATTGTTAATGGCAACGTTGGATTCCCAATTCGAAAACTGTCGTTGAGCTTGTCCCAGCGATATAATAAATTTAGTAAACTCCAGATAATTGATATAAAGAAATCCTCAACATTATTTGGAAAAAAGACTCTCCTTTCCTTAATGATATATAAATAGATAACAATTCTGCAATTCAAAAAGAGACGAATAATAAATTTGCCACAATTTTTAATGCTCACCCTTTTGGGTTCGACAACAATTCTCTATTTAATAGTGAAAGCAGCTTTCAGTTATTGGAAATATCGTGGTATACAGCATGCTAAACCCAAGTGTTGGAAGCAAGCTGCGTATAGCTGATGTTTCGCGGTATACGGGCACCTGAGACTTTAAACGCTTTTTTTTCAAAGCACTTTTTTAAAGAAGGCAAACAAGCAGCACAGCTGCAACAATTTTTGTTTGAATTTTTTAACAATGCCTTTAAAGTAACATTTCTCAGTGAAACAAGAGGGTGATTTTCAATAATTCTGTTTAAACCTTATTTGCTAACAAAACGTTACATTTCTTTGTTGGCAAATTGAAAATTTTTTTTTCCAATACCTTTATAATACGCAGAAGCGAGCTTCAAAATCCCCACAAAGTATATATATAAGTTGAATTTCAAATCCAGAACGCAACTAAGCACGTCCGTCTGCGCAACTATGTAATATCTGTAATAAATATTCTTCCGTTTGCGAAAACAAAGACATCGCCTGCAAGCCTGCAAAAAAATTTGAAAATAACCCCAACTTTTCAAAGAGTGCGCCTATGTACCAAAAGCAGTGAACACTTGATTTCCCTCTCTCTGCTCATAAACAAAAAGGCATACACGATGAAAGCTTCCACACAAAATTATTCTATAACAAGATAGTAAATTATGTTCGGTCGTGACCGAATCTTTTATATCCATTATCATTATCCTAAAAAAGACAAAAATAGGAAATGAATTGCTTTTTTATCCTCCATAATATGGAATGGCCCAGCTGATTTTTTCTATTTTCAAAATAAAAGTTCTGGTCGCATAGACGTGTGGAACCATTACTCGCTATAAGCCAAATTGATTTATAATTTTGACTGATGTGAATCATGAAATGGGGACTCTATCGGGTAGTAGGCATTCCAAGGAAGCATGACTAAACTTTATAACATGGACAGAAGTAAATGCTTCAGCTTCCGTTTTCGTTCCGATGCAAAATTTTGAAATTAATTATTTGAAATTTAATTTTGTAGAAATATTGTTATTATTATTAATTTACTTTATCGCATTTGAGATTTGAACCCACGACCATTGAGCTGTTAGACGAGATCCGTTGCCTACACGATTACTTAGTTTAATCAGTAGTAGCTTTAGAATTTATACCTCCAGCTAAATTAATAATAATATTAATAAGAACAATAGTAATTAATTGAAAAACTGGTTCCGTATGGTTGTTATGGCATTTATTGCATATGCGCAATTATGTCATGGCTGTTCTACAAAATATTACTAATCGGGTTTCGGAGATCACACCTAATGTCAACTTTTGGGCGTCACAAAAATTGCACTGTTCATCAGGGCGACAATATCAGATATTGCAAGTATGTAACAGACAACGGGTAAAAAGACATACAAGCTTGGAAATCGATATAGTTAAGTCATTGCAGAAGACAACGCTGAATCAAGAGGGTGCATATTAGTAAACATTGGAAAAAGACAGAACGAGCCTTGCAACCTACTCTTTAGATACGAAAACGAGCGAGCAAGATTAAAGAATCACATCACACTTAATGGCGCTTGTCTGTGAACACATTTTTCAGTTAAAATATGTTGTAATTTGAACTTTTTTCGGGAGATGTGCCTTTTCGTCCATTGTATCGAAAGCAACGGGAGGAAGTGCCTGTCGTGTGTTTATTATATGTTCTTTTTACCTACAAAAAATTTCTTCTCATTGCCGGTTATTATTTTATTTAAGTTTATTGATAACACTATTCGCTTTTGGGGAATTTTATAATTTAGAACGCTTCTTCGTAGTTTCCTTTGGACCAATATGATCGAACTCATTCTCTGATATATTTGCGGTTTCTCATTAAGTTGCATATAATATCTTCTAAAAAAAAAACAAGTAAGAAAATTATATTCGATCGTAACGGAATCTTTTGTACCCGCCACCATTATCCTAAAAAAGAGAAAAACAGGGAATGGATTACATTTTCTATTTTCAAAATAAAGTTCACGTCGCGTAGATGTGTGGGCATTGTGGACGTGCTCTCGCAAATTCTTTTGAAAATTTGTAGCCGATATATTCATTTTTGCTAACCGGAGAATGTTTACCAGAAATACTCCACAGTTGCACAGGCAAACAGATGGACAGATGAAGAGACGGACATGCTTAGCTGCATTTCGACTTTGAAACTGGCCAAGAATTTATATACTTCATAAAGTTTTTGAAACTTGTTTCTGCGCCTTATAAATGTATTAAAAAAAAAAAATTAAATTTTGGGCAGGAGTTGTCAATTTTTGCACAAGCACATTTATCTGCTATAGCTTTTGAGTAAAGAGCAAAAAAAACAACAGAGGCGTCTTATTTAACCGATTTGGCTCATTTCCAATACCAACATCCGTGCAAAAACTTCCAATGTTTCTGCAAAATTTGAAGTCGATAGCTTCATTCAGAATGCTTACAATGGACATTACACAGAGGGACATACTTACATCCATTTACAACTTGACTTTGATTAAGAGTACTTTGTGAGGTGTCTGAAGCTTTCTTCTGAGCGATGCAAAAGTCTTGACAAAATGAATATACCTCTCATCGCTCGGTGATGTGTATAAAAATAGGATAACAAGATAAGAAACTCGATCGCAACCGAATATAATTTTTTTTCAATTCTCCACTACGTGCCGTGGAGATGAATCGCGGTCCTAGCTTTGCCGTTTCTTCATATTTTTGAGAAAAAAATTTATTGCTTGCACCTAAATATATGCTTAATAACCTCTCCGAATTCGATTGCATCTTTTTTCACACCACGCGGTTTTCGCCTTAAATGATTGCTAATAGATGTGGGAAGAGAAAAATGATATTCAACTTTCATATTCTTCTCACATTTAGTAATACAAATAAATACTTGATGGAATTTCCTTTTGCTCTTTTTTTGGATTAATTAACAGGTTTCGTTTCGTAAGAGAGATTTATAGAAGTTTGAATTCGCCATTTAAGGTTGGGGTTGCGCTCGCCTGAATGACGTTTGCAAATCATTCAAATTGTTATTAATGGTTATGGTGACGGTAAATTATAGTTAAACATAATCGTTACAATAAGTGAATCATTAAATGTACGGAGACAAAAAAAATGTATAATGCCTTTAGGATCAGAATGTAAAACCGAAGACAATGTTGACACTTTCGGCCGCAGTTTCCTTATTCAAAAGCCTTACCTTACGCCGCGTCAGAAATTTGTACTTCGAGGAATTTGTATAAGAAAAGAAATGCAAAATAGGCCTATTGATTAGCTACACCTAAAAGCATTTAAAATTGCAATGGGGAAATACAAGTAATCAGCCTCCTGTAAAGAAAAACCTACGTTTTGCAATATTTAGCTGATCTTGATCTCAGAGTTTATACGATTATTATGCAGGATCAACTAAAAGGAAATTGTAAAAGTAACGGTAGTCGGCAAATTTCCGCGTCCTCTATCACTTGAATTTTTGCTATTTCTGTGTATTATTTTTTAAGACGTTTGTTATCAAACTTTCGCACCTAGCCAAGATAAATTTTCCACTACTTTTCTCTTTTAAAGATATATCTTATGTGCCATTCTTAGTTGCAGTAATATTTGAAAAAATATACAAAAAACGGCACGATTATAAAAGGTCGTTGAAATTTTAGGAAGTAATATAAAAAGAAATGTTTATTTTCGTGCTTTTATGCAACCGTATTATTCAATAAACCTAAAATGCGCCTGTTTGCTGATTAAAGATTGGAAAGTAAAAGTTAACGCATCCATCTCCATAAGTCATGAGACTAAATAGACGATGACGTTTGTAGGCGGAAAGCTTCGTATCATGTCGATAATTTGTTGTGACACTAATCGCCGTGGAAATCAAAAATTTGTTGATGGTTTACGGGTTTTAAACGCTGTTGTGCGGAACGCAAGGGATCTCCAAGAGGTAAAATGTTAGACAACCGTTGGACTGATCTTATCACTTTTGATGAGGGTTATATTGATGAGGGAAACGACGTCTTTTAGAAAATACATGTGTTTTCTCTTTCTTATTCCTGGGAATTATTGACTGAAATATTAGCTTAATCAATTCATAGATGCGCTCGTAAAAACTGGCTTGACCGTGCTTCTGCAGTAAAACTTCCGTAATTTTACCGTCTTTCCTCATTAAGAATTTTACTTATATCTTTGTATATTATGTCATTCCTATAACTGTTTCCAAATAGGGCCAAAACATGTCAATATAACAAAACTTCCAAATTTCTTGATATGTTCTTGCGATGTGTAGGTGAGTAGGCAAATCTCATTCAGTCATTTTGAATTGTTCGCTATAATGAAGAGTGCATCTACATTAAGCTCTTCCGAGGGTTGTGTACATTCAAATAAACCTAATACGTAATGTAGATTTCGAATTCCAGTAGACTTGCAATCAGCTGGGGGATTTATGTCAAGGTTAAGTTTACTAAGTTTCTTAGCACAAAAGCGTTAAGCTTGTCGAGTTGCGGGTACATTCACTTTGTCAAAATATTTACATACCCAGAAAGAAGCTTCAGAAATATTATAAAGAATATACATTGTGCGCAAAATATATAGTGTATCTCTGAGTAATAAATATTTTTCTTGTCGCAAAAATGAACTAGATTTCAAATTTTGCAAAAATATTGGAACTTCTTGTGAGCGACTTTATATTGAAAATGAGGCAAATTGTCTACAATAGAACATAAACTGAAAATCTCTGGTTTCGAGAACAAAAAGAAAATTATACGACAAAGATTTGTACGTATACTCTGCAGGCAATCCTCCAGTAGATGCATTTACATAGAAATAGTCAACCATGTCTAACTAATATTATAGACTAGCGAAGCTTTATTCTTTTGTCAAAACCTGTGTAGTATCCAGAAGGAAACGTCAGGAGGCTTATAAAATGTGTATGCTGTTGATCAACATCAAATTCTAAATCGATTCAAATATATTCGCCTATCCGTTCGTCTCTTCCATTGTGCACCTTCTAACGTTGACAACAACATTTGAAGCTCCTGCACGCGCTTTTCGAAGTAAACCTGGCCAAAATCGATAAAAGGCCGCGCCTACCGCACAACACAAACGGAGAACATTTACGTTTTGCGTTTTATGCTTATGATTCATTCTATGCGTGGTTCTACAGCAGCCATACAAAATTCGAAAAATTT